TAGTGATGGCCTCCCCCTAGTAGTAGACTAAAACCGAGGGCCCGACCTCACTTATGACGAGAGTGGCATGAGTCTCTGGGCACTCTGGGCTGCATCCTCCAAATGACCTTTTCTTTTATGGATGGTGATGGTGCCCCGAAACAACACGTGTTGAAGGTGGGCGTCCAGTTTTGAGCTGCTTCGAAGGGCTCCACTTACCTGAGTTGACGAGAACCAGCGAATGGATCACCGTGCTCTGTATGTGTTTGCTTTTTGTTTAAATAGAAGCAGTACTTCCATACAGTGTTTGTAAAACCTACGCACAAGGGAATCAAAGAACACCTCCCAAGCCGAAGATCCCCAGCCCAGCCCGAAGCATCCGGGAGTTATCACCCGGGCGAGTCGTGTTTTGCGCTTCAGTTTGGCTCTCTGTCAGAAGGGGCGGATGTGGGGCGTCCCCATGCAGGTGCCTCAGCCTTCCTCGAGGCGGTCTTCAGAGGTTTCAGGTTCTGCGGGGGTTGTTTGAACGGCTCATCTAGGCTTCTTGTCGAAGTGCAAGAAGGTCATCCACGAACTCTTCCAAGATATCCGTCGGCATACAGACTGAATGTCCTCAATGTCTGCATCTGAAAAATATGCGTAATCCTCATCAAAGTCCACTTGATTGGAATAAAGACGAATTGAATCCTGCTGCAAAACAGTCACTATTCCTCTGAGACATTTGCGGATCCATCTCTTTCTGAAAGCATTGATCTCTTCTGTCTTCTTGGCCGTGACAATCCGTGACATATCTTTGCTGTCAGAAAGCCTTTCACACTGCATTCTCACCCCCCCAGCGCATGGAAGTGCCAACCTTGGGGGCTGCAAACTCAAAAAGTCTGGCCTAAAAAGAACTGATCAACCGCTGCTCATCCTGAGTAAAGCCCTTCGTTGGACAAAGCCGGAGGTGGTCTCCCTGGCGACTCGAGGATATCCACGGCCATGCCCTCGTCGCTTTGCATGATGGCCTTGTGGCGCCGAAATGCCTTCTCTAGGAGCTCTTGAAATTTTCTCCATCTAGCATGCAGATTTCTCCACAAGGACTTGGATTTGATGAGCATCGACAGTACAGAAGCCAGCTCCAAACCGCGGATCAAACCAGGGCCAATACCGAGGTTGTTGCTACGATGTTCAAGAGCTTTGCAGCCAAGAATGAAACAGCAAGACCACAGCATCCGGAATATGGCCACAATGGCTTGCCGCGCATAAAATGTTCATAATTCAAAGCAAGCGATGTCACCCGACTGCATTTTCAGAAACACTACTGTCGAGGAAGTGGCTGAATCCAGGATGCTTTCTTTTGTCAATCGGACAAACCAAGGTGCAAATCCAAATCTTAGCGCTTCTTCTGACGGAATAGAACAAATCACGTTAGCAACACGCTCATTTGATCTTTCAAGGTGCTCTCCCCAGTTTTGGCCCAACTTTCTCAAACATGACTTCCGTGCTTTGAGTAAGGTTTCCAGTGACACAACCGCTTCTTGCACCAAAGCCACGTTGCCCTCGTGCCCAAGCTTACCAGTATCTACTGCCTGCCGGCGGCTGAAGAGCTCTGCAAGAACAGAGCCCATGAAGCGCGGACATCCAGCGGCAAGCCTATGAAAAACCGGGGATGTGTGAGCAGCTGCGATGACGTCCCAGAGGTACATGAAAAGGTCCTGGGGATAGTTGCACGAGGGAAGAATCTTGGCGACTCTCATCTTGGTGTCCAGCCCGCCGTGCTGGACAAACAGCTTGCAGTACAGGAATCCACAGGCCTCCAATAAAGGAATCTCATCTGTGTACTGTACAGATCAGACCAATGACCAAAACCAGATCTCAAGCCCTGCTAGCGGCAGAAAGGGACAAGCGAAACGTCTCATCGCAGCGGCCCAGCAAAAGGCCGCTCGAATCCTGAGGAATCCACTGCAGCAGAATGAGATGGCCGAGCGTGTCCTTCACCATGGCGGATCGTGTCCTTTGACCGGACCCTAGATCCGAGGACAAGGTTGCGGGAAGCCTTGTCTGTGCGAGATATGGGGTCTTTGATTCAACAGCCCAAATTCATGCAAGTTTCTTCTTCACTGTCCTGACTGACCAGCTAGCATGGATTGACTGGTTGCCCTGACACGTCTCCTACCATTTTTGTGTAGTGCACTTCATTTGGATATGATATGCATCAATCCTAAGACGAATAACTTAGCCAAAACTGCAAAACCATGCAAAACCCAATGCATTGATTGGTCCTTCAATACATCCCTGCTGATAGACACTGTTGCGCTGCTCCGGCCACTCACCAAGAACCTCAAGTCTATTTGGCGCTCTTCAAAACCCGCAAAACCAATCAAGGAGGTAAGACCGCGACATAACTTAGCTGGTCAACATGTTGCATTTTTCGAAACACTGCGAAATCACACCCTTTTTCTCAAACACACACACACACAAACACACCTCTCAAACCCTCATCCACAGCAGTCCCATGTCCACGTCAAACGTCCCCAGAAGCGTGTATCAAGATGCCTCATCTGTGGGATCTTCTTCCCCCAAGGGTCGTTCCTCACGGGGCTCCTCAGTGAGGGCGATAGAGATCTATCCGCGTTCTACCTGCAGTTGCATGGAGTTGGGTGAAGGATAGAGGTGCCCGGGACATCCAGTCACCAACTCGGGTCTAAAAAACACCCCTTTTTGGAACTCATGGAAAGCAGGGATGGGGACATCCGACAATGGGCAGCAACTATGGATGTACGATGGTGTCCCCAATATGCAAAAACACCAATGACTGCTGATCAATATTATACAGTACAATATAAATATATACCGTATATACATATATACATACTACCCCTCCATATCTAGATGTAAAAGCATTTTGATATGTACGTACCCCTCATCTGGTATACAATTCTATACAATTCTGGTATGCGCCCTCATATGGCTAGGGCAAATCAAACGCTCTAGGGTCCCGGCTCCCCAGGAGTCTCCACCTAGGTGGTAGGGCCAAGCTGAGGCGAATGTATGAATGTGGGATGGCCCCCATTGGATGACCCTGAAATCCGAAGACCCAACAAATGCTGAGAAACTCCATTAATCTTGACTTGGAATGTGGCCAACAGGCATATGTTGCATTGCAGTTACAACAAAAAGAAGTGACTCGAATGGTTTGGTCATTATTCATGAATTGATCTGAATCTATGGCAAGTTTCCACATGATTGAGCATGTACCGGGTACGATTGTGTGGTCATCGCCGCCTTTGGACCATCTTGCAGCATCAAGCTCCTGTCTGAGGAGGCCGCGGAGGACAGCGGAGAGAGTCTGCATACCTTGTGGAGGACAGCGGAGGAAGTTTAGGCAGGGCTCCCATTCTGAGTCCGACTGCATCGCGGCAACAAACATGGGGCCACTTGCTATAGCCTTGACAGACACCTCCAGGGCGAAACAACCATCTGGAGCATGTTGGTAAATTCATCCTCTTTGAGTCTTGTGACCAAAGTGCCAATGTCGTTATATCCTCGTGAATCCACTGTGGTTCATTCGTCGGTGTGTCACTAAAGCACTTGGACGAGACGAAACCAGAAACCATGCCGCACCCACAAGCTCCTAGACGGATCAAGATGGCCTGCAATCATGTGGCCACCCAGGTAAAGGATATGATATGATAAATGGTGCTCAGTCCGGATCAGGCCATGATACATGGTATATGACGTATGAGAGCTGTCAGACCACCACATTTGCTTCCATGTTCCAAAATCAGGGACTGGTTGTGAACTGGAGCAGGATCCAAACGGAAAGCATGAACAAAAACACCCAGATGTCAACCCAGTTCGCCACATCACTTCGCCATATCTCTTCGTGCCGAAACCGATGCGCCGCGTCACCGAAGAAACGGCCGGACGGGTCCACGCCTGTGGCACTTCGGAAGAGGCGCCGTCCACGCTCGCCCGAGCTGCGGTGGCTCGGGGGGCGACAACGTCAGTGGTCGTCGAGCGGAGAAAGGGGAGGGTGATTTGGAAGGTGGCTATTATGTAAATATAGGGTGGCATCCAAAGCCCTATTGGAAAGGAAGAAGAGACTGTCATTACTGTCGTGCAATAACTGTCGTCATGTTTATGTTGATAAAGAGAGTCCTCAAAAGTACCTTCACGAATGGACACCTCCAGTTCCTGGATGTTCCTGGATCTTCTTCACCTTTCGGAGATCGAGAAGGGGACTCCAAGTGGAACGAATAGGCGCGACAAGTCCGAATAGATCAACCACCACACACACATGAGTCACAGTGATGTGGGATGGCCCATTGTTCCTCCCGTCAACGACCTGCAGGTCCTTGTCCTTTTTCGCACCACCGGGCTGCGCGTTCTACGCACGAGGACCGAGAGAGGTCGGTCCCAGTCGCAGAGGTGCCCAGCGAACGGAGCCCGTGGGACGGAAGTCTTCCGAAAGTGCGTACAAGGCGCCCGGAAATAAACAGATTGAAACCAAAGTCCCAAGAAAGAAGGATTTACCCGGCAATTTCAAAATAAAACATCACCTTAAGCAAAAATATCTTAAATTCGTTTGAATAATATTGAAATATGTGGAATACCTGTTCCATTTTTTCCTCTTCCTCTGTTCCTCCCAAGAGTACCCTGGCAGCATTCGGAGATGTGTGCCGAATTGCTGCTGGCGATAGCCTTGTAACTTCTACTATAGGACTATAGGGGCACTCTGTGTCTTGGCAGTTGTGAGAAACACCGCGTGTATACAGATGTCACGACGACCCAAAGGACCCCACCAAAACATGCAACACTGAACAAGATCAAAACGATTCAGTGACGATCAGTGACGAAGTTTGAGTTTGAATGCACAAAAGCAAAAACAATGCACAAACGATCAGTAACGATATAAAACAATCTAAAACAGATCAGACATACATCCTAAGGGTCCTTGACTCATGAGGCGACCACCTCTGTCTTTTCATCTCGACCCCTGCGACCGGTGCACCGACCCAGGACCGAGCGGAGCCCGCTCACCAGGGACCCTGCCGGAGCGGGAGCAGTCACCCAGCGAAGCCCAGTCATGGGGTGAGTCGCAGTCATGTTCACGAGCCAGTCGCAGTGTTTTGGTGAAAGGAAGCGCCGTTTGTTGTGCACTATAGTCTATAGTTATCATATAAATAGTTATCATATGATTATCATATAATTACAATAATATTCTGTGGCTGCTTTGGGGGTCATCTTGATCACTCCCACTGCCTGCACGTGCACAAACATCCACCGCGAACGGGTAGGGGAACAGGGTCCGAACACGTGTCTACGATCGGAGTCATGTTAGATGTCGTCTTTGTTGCAGGAGGATAGAGCTTAGAACCATCAGGATGTAACTATGTTGGCTGTTGGCTTTAGACCAGAATCAGGAGTTGCTAACTGCTAAGAAGGAGTCACCACTTCCCAGTATGCCCTGAGTGAGCTGAAACTGCACATCGTTCCAAAACAACTCCAAATGAGTGGTGTTTAATATACCTCAAACCATGTCTTTTCCTCAAGTGTGGAGGGCGAGCATGGCGTTTAGGCAGGGCACAAGTTGGAGTGTGCAAGAGTCTGTTAGAGCTCATCTACCATATCCTTCGACTTGTGCAACAACGCAAATGCAATGCGGAACTGCGAACTGTCAACCATGTTCCACATTCGATCTTAAGGCCAATGGCTTGGCTAGGGAAATGTAGAGGGGATATGTCCTATAAGTCATCATGGAACAAAAATATAGGAAATCGACCTACGACTTAGGAGTAGGGCACACAGGAGAAACATGTTCTCCACTTCTGCCACTGCCAATGCATCAAATCTTGGTTTCCAGATGGGACACTTGTGTCTGTTTTGGACCATTCCCTTTCTATCGCTTTCTGGTCACGCCGCGTTTGAAACCAGCCTGCTGCGTCCTTTCGTTTTGTCAGCCGCTTACAAATCATTTTGAGGTTTTTGTATCTTTGCTTCTACTATACTATACCGCCGACTTAAACATCATGATGGGGTCTCTTAGGCTTCTGGGGGACGTTACTCTTTAGCTCGTGACTAATTATTTTCAGCTAACATGGAATTTAACATGTTGATCTTTCCTCATGACATCTCATGACGTAGGAGTTCCAAAGTTGATCAAATTTGGCTATACTTTCGACCAATCCTCGGTGGTTAGCACACCCCACTTGCATTTAGGAACAGAAACGTTGCTGCGCTTCTAATAATGCCTACTAACTACTAGCAGTTACTAGCGCTTTCAACGATGGAAGATCGAGATGGCCCATGTCCTATCATTTCTCAGCCTCCCCTCCTCCGACTCCTCATCTGAGGGTGACCATGTTGGCTGGGTTTGTCGTTTCCTGGGGTCGCCCCCACAAGGAGTGGAGTGTATGTGGATGGACATATCCTCACTACCGTGCGGTTCAAAAGGACCGTTCCTTTACTACCGGCCTGCCTGGCCTGGGGCGCTGGGAGAAACATGGAGAAACCAGTTTGCTGGGCCGAAACTGAACAAGATCCCGCCTTGCCAAAGGAACCCTTCCAAGCAGCGGGGCTCCAGCCTGTGGGTCTACACACCCGCAAGAGCCCTTCCAAGATTCAACTAGATGTTCTGAGTAAAATGGATGTTCTACACACACCCCTACCACAAACCCCTCACTCGATCCATCTCCATCCCAACTTGGGAGTTTGTTTCTCAGCTCAGATGGAGGCAGGAGTTTATGCCAGCAGAATCATACGGACTGGGAAAGCACTGTCTTAAAGATCCGAGGGCTACCTGCGGGGCACTCATCTACCAAGCGGCACTTGTTTGTGGTTCTTTCTTCTGACACACGTCGTCACGTCGCGGCGTGTTGTGTTGGGGCTGAAGACTTAAATGTTGTGCCCACACTGAAGAAAAGAACTGGCAAACGATTGGCATCGAGCAATCCTGCCATGGTCTTGGGCAAAAGAATAGACATGGTTCGTAGACTCACCTCACTTGATTCATCAACCAATCAAGCATCACTAAGCTGAATATGCTGCCAGTTCTAAACTCCGTCCTGCCTTTCCAGCCCTTGGCGGCCCATTCGCCCCAGGCTGAATCTGCTTGTGGCCAAGCTCCTTTGACTCCTTTCCCCTTGCCTTCAGGCCACTCTGACCAGTCTTGCCCCCACTCCCAATCACCTTCCCATGGGTTAGGCGAGTTGCTCCCCACCATCGCTGGCCAAGCCTCCCCCTTCCCTGCCGCACCGCCCCCAACCGGGACATTCGTAGCCGCGGGCGCTGTGGCAGTAGCCACACCATCACCGGCCCAACCGTCTGGCCCGGCCCACGCCTCACCCTGACCCCATGCACTGCATGCGCCACTTGCGCCAGATGCACTTGGATCTCCCTTTCCCCACGCACCACATGCGCCACTTGCGCCAGATGCATCTCCCTTCCCCCAGGCAGCACCTCCGCCAGATGGATCTCCCTTGCCCCAAGCACCACATGCGCCGCATGCAGCTGTGCTTGGATCAGTCCACTCCTCCCATCCACTCTGCTCATTCGGCCACGTGTCACTTCCAGTGGCGCCGCCAGCATCGGGCCACGGCCACGTACCTGCAGCCAAGGAGCAGTTGCTGTGACCCCTAAAGGTGCCGAACATTCCCCAAGCAAGCGGAGCATAGCGGAGTTGTGAAAGATTGGTCCGGATCAACTAGAAGCCATTGACTGGGAAAATCAAGCAAGCCGGGATTCATGTTTGAAGATGTTTGTTTGCTTGGTGTGTGCTAGTGCAAGAAAACACTTTATGATATTGGTAGGTGGCTGAATGCTGGTTGAAAAATGCCGGGCAAAACAAAACTAACGGCCACGTGGGAATGGGTAAAAACGAAGCCTAGACCACCAGCACCAGGAACATCTCAACTTAGTATCTTTCAGAGGTACCTGGTATTGACGTCGGCTATGGAGTCCTGCATTGGTCTGCTACTTGCGCTTAGTTCTTGGCCATCCCAACTTCAAATGACACCCTGGCCCTCCCTCCCACGTCCCATCTGCACAACAACTCCACCGAAGTCAGTGTGATCAAGCTGAAGAGTGAGAGTTGGCTTGCTTCCTATCAAAGTGACTGGAACTTTATGATCGTGGCTGCCTCAAACTTTGAGAAAGTCCAACGGACACTCAAACACTTCGCTCGGTTTTTGATGTCTTTTCCAACCCCAAATCACTAACTGTAACTTACTATATACCATCTAGGAATCTAGGTTGGGGATACCGTTGAGATGCGCCCAAAAGGAAAACCAAAGATCCAACCTCCACTTTGACCGCACGCTAGTTCCGCCGGAATCGTCGCTGGTGCCTCGACTCGCGCAAGCGCGCAGCCGTACGTGTGCGGGCAAAAGTTTGAGGGGGGTCAACATCAAAACAATCAAACCACATCGCATCAAACAATGATCTTGGAATCTTGGTTATATCCATTGATGCGGTCAGGTCATGTCAGGCTAATAATGGCTAATCAATGGGTATTCAGGAAGCACCGTTGTCTTGATCACCCTCTTGTTTACAAGCCGTACCCGGCAAAGCAATTCCTGATCCAACTTGGCCCACAAGGCATGTTCTCTTTTGCAATCATTTAACATGCCGCTTGCATATTTTGGTTACGTAGCGTGGTATGCTACTTGGGGTGATCTACTGGGAAAAAGTTCGAATGCAGAACGTGTGGTTTTTGTGTCTCCTCAGCCATGGCAGCCATGCTGGTCGCCATGCTGGTCGCCATGGCCGGTGCGGCGGCCGCTGCGGTGGCCGCTTGAGCAGCCATTCCCGCAACTTGAGCGCTGGCTTGTAAGATGGCCTCCTGGGAGTGGCGAACGTGTTTTTACCGATCAACATTCATTTTTTGTTAGGTAGTACATCCTATTATCAGGGCCCAGTGGATCATGATGGCTAGGTTGCAGGCCTTTCTCAAAATAGTGATATATATATATTGTCAATGTTGCGAATGCACATGTGAGATTTGTTTTCCATTTTGCAATGCATTTCATGATGAGAGCGGATAGATGACATTCGAGTCACACCGCAATCGAATTTCAATTCTCAAATCCGGCCGAAGGGCCCTTGAGTCACGTTCGGCGACGACCTTCGCCACCCGCTGGCATCGTGAGAAAGGACGCATCGCGGCCTTCGAGTTCTTTTTCTTTGGTTGCTTGGAACTTCGTGAGTTCAAGTACTTCGAGATTGGTAGCGGAGCCCAAGACGATCCTCCCGGAATTTGACCAGGGTGAACTTTTTGTTTGAGGACGCCTATAGGGTAATCCTGGCCGGTGAGAATTGGCTCATCTTAAAGATCACGTTCAGCAAGGCAGTCACAAACGAGTGGTCAGCAAAGAAGACAGCGAGATAGACAAGAAGGTGAACAACCAGTTGATGTCCCCATACCTCCTTCTCCTCCACGTGCAGCGAATGGAGCTAGTCCAGGAACTCCTTCCTCTGGATCCAACAACTATCGTGGATTGGATAGTGGCTTGGCAAAGGCCGCACCATCGGCCGAGGGGCTAACGCAAAGTGGCTATCGCAGCTACAGAAGACGATTGGAATTGTATGCCCTGCAGTGTCGTCGACGCTCAACGGATGCTGAGATTGAAGGTGCTCTTTTGGTCATCAGCCTCCTCAAGGACACTGTTTGGGATGCAGCAGAACAAATAGATTTGAAAGAAATCACCAGTGGAACAAATCCGTTCGCACCTTTGTTCACTATGATGGACCAGCTATTTCAATATGAAGAACAAATTGAGGTTCCATATCGGTGTGAAGAGTTCTTTCAAAGCTTCAATCGTCAGAAGGGAGAAGAAATGCAGGCATACCTCATTCGCCATCGCACTGCTTTGAAGAAACTTCGAGAGGTCAAGATCGACATTCCACCACTTCTTGCTGGATGGCATTTGTTGACCCGAAGTGGAACTCCAAAATGGACACACGTGCAAGTGAAAGCATTGTGCAAAGGCGAGCTTGACTATGAAGAGGTCCAACGAGCTTTGCTTCGAATGTTTGGTGGAGACCACAAACCAAACACCAAGGACATTGGACCTGTGGCCAAGTCATCCAAAGACGCGTTCTTCTACGAGGAAGACTATGATGAGGAGTTCTACTACGAAGGAGAAGAAGAAGATGATTGGCATGAAATCTACTATGAAGGTGAAGAAGATGAAGAAGAAATCCCTGAGGAGCTTGAAGAGGCATACGAAAACATGGATGAAGCCTACATTTCCTACTTGGAATCAAGAAAAAGAATGAAGGAACTTGCCTTGGCTCGTGGCTTCTATCCCGTCGTAGCCATTGGTCCTGACTTCGACCATGGCAAAGGAGGCAAAAGCGAAAGAAAGGGAAGCTCAAAGGGCAAAGGAAAGAGCAAAGGAAAAGGAAAAGGAAAAGGCAAAGGAAAAAGCATGTTTCCTCGACGCCCAATGCATGGTCTTCGAAAGCCACCATCATCGTCGACCACGACTTCCTCCGAGTTGAGATCAACCCTGACCGGTTCCAATTCTTCTCATGGACCGAGGTTCAAACGATATCAAGTGCAAGCACAAGGTGTCAAAGAAGTTGGCGGTGAAGAGGTAACCATGGTGGAAGAACTAACGGAAGAGTGCTTTCAAGAGGACATTTTCTTTGCCACCCTTGCTCCAGGTCACGCAATTGTGGATTCAGGTGCAACAAGAACATTGGTTGGAGAAGAAGTGTGGAAAGAATGGGTCGAGCACTATGATGAAGGCCTACTTGGACCTCTCCGTACTCAGGCACAAAAGCGATCCTTCAAGTTCGGCGGCGGAGAGATGCTTGAATCCAACTACGAAATCTCCTTCAACGCCTTGGTGAAAGGTCAAAAGCTGCCCATCACGGTTTCAGTGGTACCTGGGCACACTCCCTTCCTGTTGGCAAGACCTATGCTGGAACAATGGGGGGTGAAACAAGACTACGCCAGTGGCAACATGAAAGTGGCTCAATCCGAATGGTTTCAACCAAGTCGTGGACAAAAAGGTCACTATGTCTTGAACTTGTTGGAATATCATGACGACGAACAAGAAATGAACTACATCATGGAAGAAGAGGTTTTGATCACGACAAGTCCACTGGAAATTGAACCTTCCTGTGAGTCAGAACCGTCTGACATTGCAGAGCAGATCCTCATGGAGTCCGAAGCAAATGAAGTTGAAGAGATTTCTCAACAAGTTTTGCAGCGCCTTCAACAAGAAAGAAAATTGATCTTCTTTGAGGTCTATGTGGATGAAGGCAACCTGGCTACAGAACTGTTGAAACGCTTTCCAGACTGTGAGGTCGCTACTTTCAGCTTACCTCACTGGGACTTTGAAAAAGAAAATGACCGAAAAGCATTCCTCAAGTTGGTGAGAGAGCAAAAGCCTCACTTCATCTGGTGTGCACCACCGTGTACGAAATGGTCACCAATGCAAAGGCTCAACATGATCAAGGCCGAAAAGCTAGCCTACATCCTGGAATTGCAAAAGCAAGAAGAAAAGCAACATTTGAAACTGGTTTTGGATGTCACCGACATCTGCAACTGGGAGATCAATGCCGGCATGGCCATGGAGCATCCTCATTTGGCTATGTCATGGAAGACGAAAACCTTGGAGTCCATGGATGGTTATGATGCAATCTGCAACCGATGCAGGACCGGTTTGCGCTACTATGATCGCATGGGAAACTATGTCGGAAAGGTCAAGAAACCTACGAGGATTCGCACAAACAGCCAAATGGTCTTTGAAGCACTTGATCTTCCATGTGAATGTCTTCCTGGAGAGCATGTTGCTATGGATGGAAAAGGAGAAAGCTTGAAGAAAATGCAAAACTACGAAAGAGGCTTCGTGAAAAGAGCAGCAAATGCCATCTATCAGGAGATGGAAGAACGATGGCGACAAAGAGAGATAGCCAAGATCTATATGGTTGAAGAGCAGGATGAGAAAAACAAAGTGAAGAATGCATCCAACATTACTGAGGAAGAGAAGAAGCTGATGAAGACCCACAGCAAGCAAAACCTACAGGTCATCAGCAAACTGCACAAGCAACTTGGACATCCAGGTGTAGATCGGATGATCAAAACGCTTAAAGATGCAGGTATGGATGAGTCTCTGATCCGATGTGCCAAAGACTACAAGTGTGAAGTATGTGAGCAACAGGCACAACGGAAATTGGAGAAACCAGCTTCACTGCCTCAGGCCAGTCACTTCAATGAATGTTTGGAAGCCGATGTTTTTCACATCCGCTGGAATGGAGAAAAGCGAAAGGTTTTGGCCATCCTCGACATCTACTCCAAGTACGAAATCAATGCTGTGTTGGAGAGAGAAACTGAAGAAGTTGAACTGAAGATACTTCGTGAACAATGGATTCAGACTTTTGGTCCTCCAGAACGATTCCGAACAGACCAGTCAGGAGCACACATGAGTCAGAAGTATCTGGACTTCTTCGACCAAAACAACATCAAGCTGATCCTCGTACCCAAAGAAGCTCACTATAGAATGGGATCAGTGGAAAGACTCCACGCAGTGAGAAGAATGCAGCTGCTCAAGATGCAAAAAGATGAACCGAATGTACTCCTTGAAGAAGCTGTTCCAGTTGCTTGTCATCAACGAAACCGCCTTCGTTCAGTGCATGGCAGCTCACCATACCAAATCGTTTTTGGACACAATCCTCAATCGAACGGTCTTTGTGATGAACCGCACTTGTCCAAACCGCTCGATGACACGGAACAGCACCAAAAAGATCAAGCACTTCGGTACTCAGCAGCCAAAGCATTTTATGAAGCCAACAACAACCAGCTGCTCAAACGTGCACTTCTTGCCCGGCCACGGTCTGAACATGTGGCCGCCAGCCTTGGCGATTGGATCTACTACTGGAGACAGGGGGAAAACAAACTTGACCCTACTCGCTGGCGTGGCCCTGCATTGGTCTGCGCCATAGAGCCCCGCAAGAACGATGACGGCCGCATCCGAGCTTCTGTTTACTGGGTTGCTCATGGATCCAGTTTGGTGCGTGTTGCAAGTGAGCATATTCGTGCCGAGGTGGCTCGAGAAAGAGTTCATCGCCTGGAAACGCAACCTGACACAGCTGTTTCGAACAGTTTGGTTCATCGAGTTCGACAAGCTCTGACCCCTGTGCAGGGTCCTGTGCGTTTTCTTGATCTTGCAGGGGATCCCACCTTTTCGAATGCAAAGGCTGAAACTTCTGTCCTTTCTCTGGTACCACCAGAGACAAAGGCTGAAACTTCTGTCCCTCCTCTGGTACCACCAGAGAGTCCAGAAGTTCCAATGTCAGAACCTCAAGCCGAAGAAGAAGTGACAACAGAACCTCAGCACACTGCGGCAGCAGCAGAAGACAAGACAGCAGCAGCAGAAGCTGAAGCAGTTGAAGTAGAAACAAAAGAAGACCAAGATCCAAGTGGCCGAGGAAGATCAAGAAGCCCTCCACCTCATGACTCTCGGCACAAAGACTTTGAAAACCTGTATGAGTCCTACAACAAGGCACGTCAACTTGATGGCCTCCCGCCTGTTTCTCGAGATGATCATCAGCTGAAAAGTCAATATGACATGCTGTATGGTGAGGAAGTTGATTGGCTGGACGAAAATTTCCTGGCCACTTCGTTCAGTGAGAAGAACCTCACCAAAGAGCAGAAAGAAGAGTTCGCCGAAGCTCGCGACAAGGCTTTGGATGTCTGGTTTGAGAATCAAGCATGGCGACCAGTCGATGCCTCCGAAGCCCAACCAGGCGAAGCAGTACCAGCAAGATTTTTGCAGCGCTGGAAGCCAACGAAAGAAGGGCAGAAAGCAAACGCCCGAATCATCATACAGGGATTCAAACATCGTGACGTGCTCGAAGACACTGTCGATAAGGAAGCTCCTACTTTGTCCATGGTTGGTCGCAGCTCCATTTATCTTTTTGCAGTGGTTCGTCAGCTCAAGCTGTGGAGTGCTGATGTGAAGACTGCTTTTCAACAAGCAGACAACATCGAACAAGAAGCCCGAGTGTTCATACAGCCCTCAGCTGAGATTCGACGCCTCCTGGAGAGAAAGATTGGACTGAAACCATGGCAAATCATGCGCGCATCTAAGCCCGCTTTTGGTGATTGCCGAGCTCCAAGACAGTGGAATGCAACTGCGCATAGGTGCTTGACTGAGGAACTTGGCATGATCCCGCACCCTTTGGATCGTTGTGTGTACCTCAGCATTCGAGCTGCATATGAATCTGATCCAGCTTTCGAAGTGTTCCAATGGAATGGGGTCCCTAGCATTGTTGGCGGCATTTTTGGACTCCATGTGGACGACTTCATTGGTGCTGGTGAAGGTTTCTGCAGTGAGCATGATTTGAAAAAGGAATGTCCCAATGAAGAGTGTTTCCTCAACCGCATCCTGCGTTTGGCTCAGCGTTTTCGTTTTGGTGCATGGGATTTTGGAAATGGCTCAAAGATCATCTTTTGTGGTGCTGAACTGCAACAGTCGCTAGACTACTCCACCATTTCGGTGAGTCTGGCGAACTATGTACAAAAGGTGAAACCGATTTCATTGGACAAATCCAGGAAAACAATGACAGAGTCTCCATGCGATGAACGTGAACACCGACAGTTCCGTGCCCTCATTGGTGCGCTAGCATGGCCTGCTCATCAAAGCATTCCAGAGTTGTGTGCAAGCGTGAGCATTTTGCAAGCATCAGCAAGCAATCCATGTGTTGGTGATTTGAACCAAGCAAACAAGCTGCTTCGTTTTGCAAAAGAAGTTTCAAAAGATCACCAACTGTACATGCGTGGTTCATGTGCTTTTTCTGAGTTGTGCATTGGAGCCTATACCGATGCTGCCTGGGCCGTGAGACCCGACGGATCGAGCCAAGGTGGACTTTTGGTTTTCATTTGTTCGCACCAAGAGCTGGAATCCGGCAGCATGATGCCGCTCAATGTCTTTTATTGGAAATCGCACAAGTTGGCACGTATTTGTCGGTCAAGCTTGTCCTCAGAGGCTCAAGCAGCCGCCATTGCAGTGGACGAGCTTGAATGGTGCAAGATTTTTGCTTCCGTCATGATCGACCCCACCTTGCCGATCGAAAGTCCGGAAGCATTGAAAAAGCTTGGACCATCCCCGCTTGTGACAGATGCAAAATCTTTGTTTGATGCTGCCAAGTCCTTGTCTCCCAGCATGAAATTGAGTGAGAAAAGAACTGCGATCGAAGTGGCCATTGTGCGAGATCGTATGAACGCTTTGTTGGGAAAATGGATGTGGGTGAACTCACACCAACAGATCTCTGACGGCTTGACAAAGCCGGCTTCCAGAGATTCCATGGCCTACATCATGAAGCGTGGCACCCATCAACTCAAGTTCAACCCCGACTTTACAGCCTCCAAGAAAGTGTCCTCGGAAGCCAAGAAAGAAGAAAGAGAAATCCATGAAGCTTTTTCAAAAGAAATGGAAGAACAACAAGTTTTTGAAGTGGAAGAGTGGCAAAAGCATGAACAAAGTCTTTGTTTGCTTCCCAAATGCTGCAAACCTCGCAACGAGAGTGATCCTCGAAACAAATATTGCAGCAGAAGGCACTTCTATGCCCACCGTAGCTCTCAAGGACAGCAAGACGAATGGAAGAAAGCAGCTTTGTTTTCCGCAGCCATTTTGATGGCCAGCGAAGTCCCTCTCGTCGAAGGAGCGCTGGAACTTGTGGAAGAACAAGCATGGAGTGGCCCAGTGCTCATGTCCTTTTTTGTCATCATGGTCTTCGCATGGATAGGTCTTGAGAACGTGTTCTTGCGCTTTGGCATTGAAACCATCTTCTACAAGGCCTACAGCTTTGTGAATGCCAAGTTGATGAATTGGTTCAAGAAGGAGGTGATCGAAAACGAACAGGTCACTGAGAACAACGAAGTTCCTGAGAATGACCCGGTGCTTGTGAACCAGCTCAATCCTCCGAGCCATGTCGTCTCCGCAGCTGTTCAGGCCGATGAGGTGATTCTAAATGCACTGACTTTGGCCCGTCGTCCTGGAATAGATTCAGGAAGCACGACTACGAACACAGAGTCGGATCTTCCAGATGAAGAATGGCATCGCTGGAGTCGCATGAAGGTGAGAGTTCAAAACGAGGCTGGACAAGGCCCATATCGTCGCCTTCTATGGGAACTTGAAAACCATGATAGCAGTCTGGACTCCCAGACAAGGTGCGTGTTGCAATCTGAGAGCTTCACCACACAGCGCTGGAGGAAGTTCAGTGAATTGCTTCGAGCTCAGGACACCTCGCAATTTTCTGATGAGCAAGTATGTCAGTGGCACCGAATGTGGAATGACAACCTGGTGTTTTTGGCTGACGTGAATCGTCGCATCGTTCGTCAGAGAAATCAGATCATTGCCTTGGAACGCAATGACCGTGTTCGTGAGCAAATCTACAACGGTGAACTGGCTGATCGAACCTGCCAGACTCCTATGACGTTTGTTGCTGGCACTCGACCAAGACGCCTGGCTGAGAGAGAACATGGTGCCTGGTACCATGTGAGTGATTTAGATGTCCTTCGTTGAAGAGGACTCTAGCCCGCTTTTTGAATTTTCTTCGACAGCCCTTGAAAACTTCCTTGGGCGTGTCAATGTTGCGAATGCACATGTGAGATTTGTTTTCCATTTTGCAATGCATTTCATGATGAGAGCGGATAGATGACATTCGAGTCACACCGCAATCGAATTTCAATTCTCAAATCCGGCCGAAGGGCCCTTGAGTCACGTTCGGCGACGACCTTCGCCACCCGCTGGCATCGTGAGAAAGGACGCATCGCGGCCTTCGAGTTCTTTTTCTTTGGTTGCTTGGAACTTCGTGAGTTCAAGTACTTCGAGATATATACTATAAAAATTACATAGATTTTAGTTGTTTCTTTTTTTCTGACTGTTACTGGTAATGGGACACACTCTAGATCTATGAACCATGGAGTTCCAAGTTGGAGAGCATCTGAGATGGTTTTGGAGTTTCCGGGCTGCACGACATCCACTTGCTGGGTGGTTTCCTTCTTCCAAGTTCGCAAAAGTTCGGAATGACGAAGTCGAAGACTCGCATGAGTCAATCAATTGGTGTTCCTTCTGTACATGTTGTTTCTTTTGTTTCACCCACATGCGAAGCGTCGGCCCACACACTTACATTGTGAGCTAAAAGTCCACTGTACAGAGCAAAGGCAGGGAACCCCATCAGCAGTGCTGGGTTGCTGCAGATCAATGCTGCAAGTTTGGGCCCCCACAGGTGGAAGACCTCTTCACAGCAAACTAATCAAATCAGGTGATCGGCCACAGCAACCTCACTTGCCCTGCTTCATCATCAGAGAGCGTTTCTTCTGCGTCTTCTGCATTTGGGTTTCCTCGTCACCATTGGCCTTCCAAAGGCCGCGGTGCAACACCTCAGCGGCGGCGTCATGCACCTTCTCCCATCCGTGGAAGCGGCCCCGCTGGCTCAGGGTGCCCACGGCATTGGGAAAGGCATGATGCACATCATGGAACAACATCTCATTCCAACGATGCTTGCCACCCAAGACCAAGGCCATGACATTGTGCAGAATCGGCCAGGTGCGCCCAGGGTCTTGTGCCAAGAACTCGTTCCAAGGCAGGGAATGGGTGAAGTTGGTGATGAACATCCAAGCCGCTGAGTAACCAATGCGAGCAAAGAAGGACACGGTGAACATGAACCTCCGGGACCAAGATTCAAGTATTGTACAACCGTGGTTGATAACTCAACACATTAACTGGTTCCAACTTCCAAAAAGGAAACACCTGGCTGATTCCATGGTGTGTTGGAATAATGTCTCAATTCGGGCTGGCATTAAGGGGTTATTATCACCAAACTGCCCAAACTGGTCTGTAGTCCTAGGATTGTATTCATGCATTTGCCAGTCCACCTCAGTGGGCAGTCAACAATATCCCTCTCAGTCCACATAATTGAATGTCCAACATGAATTAGTTTTTAAACGTGTTGCCACACAACGTCCAACCGCGAACCTCCATCCCTCGCTCAATGGCCGACCCAAAGGATAAGTGCCCAAAAACCATACGAACGTCCACAAGGCAAGCACGAAGGCATTGTGATACACACGCCTGCAGGGTGGTTCTGAACCAACATAGAAAACGGAAACAAATCGAAAATAAACACGTGCACCGTGCACCTCTTGATTTATACATGGACTGACGAACATGGATGCGGGAAACGGCCCATGAGAAAAACAATTGTTTTTACAAACAAACCTTTCCCACTTCCCAGTGGCAAACAAATTTGCACAAACAAAACAAACACAATAATACACAACGCAGATGCTGGATTGCACAACAAACCTTTGTCATTCAGCGGGAACCGCTCTGGCCTAGGCACCCATTTGTTCCAGAAGTCCTTGCTGAGAGAGAGAGAGAGAGGAAAAACAAATGCACAACAACGGGATGCCAAAAACACGAAAAACGCAATCCTTGTTGCACTTTCCACCGGCACCCTCATCAGGGAAATGCATCCACCACTCCAAAGCGAAGAGGGAACCAGTGTCGTTCAGGCCGAAAAAGTGGATGATTGGGATCCATGGCACGGTGAGCATGTACCTGGTGAATGCAAAAAGGGTACTGTCACGGACCCCCGGGACCAGAAGGATCACAAACACAAATTGCCAAACAAAATTAAAAACATGCAGTCGTGGCCCTTCACCCACAAAGTGCAGCGTCCGATGTATGTTCGGTTCGTTGTGTTGTTCCAACTTAGCATTAAAAAGGAAGTTATTTGCTCTGTATAAGCCCCCAAACACCATCCGGAAAAAAAAACATGATTGAATACCAGATCCATTCGAAAGGTGCCCAGATATCCTTGACGGATGGCAGTCAAATACGCTGAGAGCACTGAGTCCCCACATTGGTACCGAGACAAGGTTGACCCCCTGGATTCTGCATATAATATTGACATCCTACGTTGCCAAGGTGACGCTTTAGATCGTTTTAGTAACCGAGTGGTGACAAAGGGTTTCTTCTCCAAACAATGTGGTCACACTAGAAGTTCTTACGGTGAGGGTCAAAGCTCGGTATAATCGAGACCGGCGTGCGCAGCCTGTTCGATGTTATCAACAGCACATGTACGCCAGATGCTTCTCGAGATCCTGCAAAGGCATTACGCAAAAACCCCGCGCAGGTTGTTTGATCGATCGCGTTGTTGCACTTGATTTTGGGGTGAGGTTAGTGGCGAGCTTCTGTGTCCTATTTGAAGTAAAGTTGGGTTTAGGATGGTTTGGGTCCCTCACCTCTTCCTGCCTTTCCCCCCTTCCCCAATGGCCGCCGATGGCAGATGGCGGCCAGCTGGCGCAGCAGCTGGCAGATCCTGTTGCCCGGTTGCACGGTTTGCTCACTAGATAAAACTTGATTGGGTGTGGTTGGGTATAGATGCCACTTGGTGGCTTTTCAACGCTTTTCGCAACTGTCCGCAGGTCATAACCGTCAAGCCTCACAGCCAGATCACAGGCAGTGAGCCTGTATTGTGACCTGGAGTCCCTGTATGTTGATGCTGATGTGGAACCTGTAGGCATGTATGCCATTCAGGTGGTTGGGCGAAACTAGTCAACTAGCTTAGTTGACACAGCACCACGCAGAACAAAGGGCACACATGCAGACCGCAACAGAACAAAGAGCACACAAGCAGACCACAACAGCACCAAAGGCACTCAACCACCGCAACAGCGCCAAACGCACACCAGCAGACCACAACAGGACCAAAGGCACACAAGCAGACCGCAACAAGCAGACCACAACAGCGCCAAAGGCACACAAGCAGGCTACAATAGCACCAAAGGCAGACAAGCAGACCGCAACAGCACCAATGGCACACAAGCAGACCACAACAGTGCCAAAGGCACACAGACACCGCAACATCGCCAAAAGCACAAGAGAAGACCCCAGCAGCGCCAACAGCAGAACACAACCACGCCAAAGGCTGACAAAGAGAATCAAAGAGATCACAACCACCACAGCTCTCCACGTTTTCCCACAGCCACCTGGCAGCACGGATGGGCGGTCGTGGTGGGATGACAAGTGGCACCATGGAAAACTGGGCCTTCAGTTCAAACTCCTTTTTCAATGAATGTTGTATCACTTGTACTCTGACTATGGTTGGTGCCCTCCATGTGTAGTGCTGCATCTCGACTGTATCCTATAAGCTCACGCATAAAATGTCATAAGATGTAAAAATGAACAAACCAGAATTCAATGAAAACCTCTTAGAACGCACAATAACCACATGAACAGGTTTCAACACAGTGGCATTAAACTTTGGCAACCATGAATGACAAGTACCTGTGAAGGGTCAACAAAACTAGCAGCACTGTGATATCTGGAATACTATCCGGGGAGGGAAAAGAACAATGAAATTCATAACGCGTCCACAAACCTGCTCCTTGTAATATGAAGTATCAATTCTTCATGAAGAGCAATTCAGAATCTCCCTGAACATTAAAAACGCACATCACTTCACCAAGAAGAAGCGTGGCAGCGCACTTTGTCCTGCACAGTGTGAGGCGTCCATGGTGTTGCGCGTCGTAGAAAGTAGTCACCCAAGGTGGTTTCTGGGGGTGTGGTGTGGGGTGGCGTCGTAACATAAAGGCTACGAGCCAGGTGAGGGGGAGGTCCAGTGGGAATGTGAAATGTTGTGGGTGCGAGAAGATTGCGTGGAGTTGGTGTAGAAACTGTGATTTTGTGTGGGTTTGCCCACGTGCGTTAGCAGCTAGCGCATCCTCAGCAGGAGCGCCGCCCTCCAGAACAGCCTCAATGCTCTGACGCGGCCACGCCATGGGCCGTAGAGGCAGAGGACAGAAGCAAGACGGAATGTCCAAAGTAGAAGACGATGTCTTTGATTCCCAGACGAGACTGCAAAGGATGTCAAAAGAGCAAGTTCCTACCATGGGGAAAACATCACTCTGTTACAGACTTGGGGATCCACGTTCCGATTGTGATCCATGATCTTCTCATCCTGATTGTGAAGAAACAACTCATGGTGGCATGTTTGCTGCTTGTTCTTGCTAGATTCCCAGTTGGCAAGTACATGCATTTCAAGATCTGTGTGAACTCCCGATTGTAGTGTCACCACCTTTTAAGAAACAGGTGTTGGTGCATAAGGTGTACTTTCAATAGTTGATTTAGAATTTTAGAATTAGTCTATTGTTCAATTTCTGTCTGTTGGACCCTCTTTCTCCCCAAAATGATGAACCACACAATCAGTCATCTTATCCAATCACTTTGGAACAAAATATCAGGTATCATTTGGCGCCGATGCTCAGCTGCCTCCATCTTCAACTGTTCAAAGGCTTATAGGATTTTGTAGGCCAAAATACCAGCGGCGCTTAGAAGCAAGAACCACGTTTTTTAAGGTTGCCTTCAATGAGAAATTGGGCACACACTAGCTGCACATCTGCAAGCTGATAGCAGAATGGAAACACACGCAGTCTTTTGGAGCGCCAGGCAACGACGTCCAGGTTGCCAACTCGGCCCAAGAAGCGGTTTGGAACATTTGTTAGACTTTGCAATTCGACACTATTGTTGGGGACAAGAACTCTTCCTCGCCTATGCATATGCCTTCTGCGTGCTGACGGTGCTTGACGATTTCCACAACATTATACGGCGAGCCTTCCAGCAGCTCCAAAGCGCCGAACGAGCCGCTACACTCATACCAAGAGTTTTTCTCCGACAATCATGCTGTTGGAAGGTCTGTTGCTGGACGCCGACGATTGAAACAGGAAGTTCTCAAGAGTTGGGGAACGGAAACTGTGAAGGCCCTGAGCATGAAGGGCCTTCCATCGATGCAACTGATAAACAAAAGCGCAAACTAGATTGTGCACAGGGTGGAAAGCAGCTGGGACTCTCCACAGCAAAGCGCTCACAACCCTCGCACAGCGCCCTAGACAAAGAATCTGTTAGCAATCCTGCCTCTGATCCTCAACGCGCTCTTGGAGTTCATATGCAACCAGTAGAATCAAACGCAACTTTACGATGTTCAGGATGAGTTTCATGGCCAGTTCAATCAATCACTCCACAAAGGTTACTAGTATCGAAAGGTGGCGCTCCGCCGTTAGCTCATCTTTTCTTCAAAGAAACATCTCAGAGTACATAATGTTGTGTCCACCAGAGGTGGCTTTATTCTTGAAATCAATAAACTAAAAAAAAGCTCCCCAAAAAAAACAAAAACAAACAAACCAAAAAAGCACCAGCAAAACAAAAAGCAACCAAGAAAGCAAAAAA